GGTACTTAAAAACCGATTTTTGCAGTACAAATCGGCATGACAACACCGATTTGTTTTTGTATTATCGGTATTGTCATGCCGACTTGTACTACAAAAATCGGTTTTTAAGTACCGATTTTATTATTTATGTTTTTTTAAGACCGTTTTCCCATACTTTCGTGCAACAACCTAGGGGATTGATGGAGGATTATTCAAATGAATTATCTAACGAACAATTATTTGAGACACGGGAAGCTCTACTCGATTGGGTTAAAGGAGTTGGTAGACGCCACGGAATTGTGATAAACATTTTCGTTTCAAATACGGGATTGAAAGGGCGTCGAAGACTGTATGTTGTACTCGCATGTGAGCGTGCGGGTGAGTATCGTGGGAAGAAGAAAGCCGGTGAGGATGGCCAAGGAGAGGGAAAGAGGAGGACGAGTTCTAAAAAATGTAATTGCACATTTAGATTAAAGGGACAAAACGAGGAAAGGATACCTATAATGTTGGGTGGGAGTTAAAATGAATTGTCCTATATCTCTTATTGGCGACGGTACTATGATGAAAAAGCGGATGGTTGGAAGACTTCCGGTATGAAATCAAGGATTACAATGTTTAGGAAGTTAGTTGGTCAAGAAGTAGCCTTGCAAGAAACCTTCATAGATTTAACATATGTAAGTGAAGACGATAGGGTAAAAGATTTTTCGTGAAACAATGTAGTTAATGTACAATATTTTAAGATTGTTGGTAGCCTTTATTATTATTATGCATTACTTACAATTGCTCGTAACATATATATTTATGCTTAATACCTCTAAAGTTGTATTATAAGATCCAAACACCTAAGGATAGTGTGTATTACGAGTTGGAAAAAGAAATCCAAAAAGCGAAAAATCGGTACTGAAGAAGGACCTTCATTAATCCGAGTGCGTCGACCGGGAGGATTAAAAGGGGCACGCCTTTTTTTTTGGCTTTTCCACCTTGCTTTTTGAGCATTTTCTTTTCGATTACGGTTTGAGACGGTCGGGGGTACACGAGGAGGTTGAGGTTCCACTGAAAAATATTTAAAAAATATCAATTAACCAAATATATAATGTATTATTTAAAAAAAAATCCGAAAAATATCGGTATCCGAAAACCGATTTTGTACTTAATAATCGACTTTAGAACGCCGATTTCGACTTGTAAAGTCGACATTGTGTCGCCGATTTGGTTAACAAAAATCGGCATTATGACGCCGATTTTCGTGTACAAAATCGGTCCGGGTAAACCGATTTGGGAAACCAACGAAATCAAAAAAAAAAAAACAATTCCAATCTCATTTTTTTTTCCAAAATCGGCCAAAGCATTGCAAACCAACAAGAAATAAGCATAGATTAATGGTCATTCATACATATTTATCAAGAATCGATGCTCGATTAAAGGTTTCAAATTTACAAACAAAAGTTTAGTAAAAAGGACATCGATGCTCGATTAATGTTTTTGAATTTACAAACAAAAGTTTAGTAAGAAGGACTTACTTGTTGGTGGTGGTGCGGTGGTGGTAATGGTGCGGTGGGTGGGTCGCTGGTCATCGCCTGTGCGGTGGAAGTCTCGCTGGTCGGCGTTGCGGCGGTCTTGCGGCGGTAGTCGTGATATTTTTTTTTTTTTTTGTCTTGAACAAATTTAAAATAGGATTTATTTGTATTTGAGTATTATTTGTGGATAAGGATATATTTGTCCTCTTTGGTCTTGATGTACTAAAATTAGATTAATTTACGGACTCGAACTAATAAACTCATTTACGTGAGTTTGAACTAATAAAAAAATGGGCTTGCATATATCCGGCTCCATAAATTTTTCCAAAATTTGAATATCTTATGGGAAAACTTTTTAAAACCTCTTATTATTGTAAAAAAAGAATTAAAAAAAATCAATAAATAGATTGTTGATAATATCAACAAACCGATCTATTGTTTATCTGACAAATTCGGTTTCCAACCACACATAATCGATAATGATTTTCAATATTCAGTAAAATTGATTGGTTAAGTCGGATAGGTAATTGGCCGATCAAAATCAAATTAAATTATTTATTTTATTACCAAATTGATGTTATAATTACATAATCGGTTCAAAAACATAATTCTAGGTAGTATACTCCAATTCGGATTTAATTGTTTCACTTTTTAGTTTTATTGATAACAACACGCAAGTAAAAGAGCACCGCTGCCACGTGTTTGCATGTAATTGGGTCACAGAAGGCAGTGAGTAACCGTCCCGTCACTCGATCGTTCCAATCTCCAAGTATATAAACCCCCCGACTGACTTTAAAGCTACCGTGTCTCCTCTCTGATTTGTGTTTCTGATATTTTTCTTTATTTTTCCTCTCTCTAAATTCACACACCGTCGGTGGCGGCGACTGGCGGCGATCGGTGACGCCGTTTTCTCGGTGAACTTACAGCGTAGATAAGTAGAAACAAAATCCGGCCGGAGATGAAGATTTTCGTGAAGACTTTGAAGGGCTCACACTTCGAGATCGAAGTGAAACCTGAAGACACCGTATGAATTCATTCCCTTTCCCTTTGTCTCTCTGTATATACGCGAAGCATTGTCATATAAATTCGTGTTTGTGTGAGTTTGATTTTGGATTACTTTGTGTTTTGTGTGTTTGAACTGTAATTAGGGTTTTTGAATTGTGTTTGGTTTTATGGGTTTCTGGCCTCTGCGGCTGTTGATTGGGGATTTGTGTACGTATTTCACATCCCAATTGGATTAATAATTATGATTTTATTGAAATTGAGTTCTCTTTTCTTCCCTGAGAATGGGATTGGATTGTTCAGTAAGTTATTGATTTCAACGTTCAATTTAGGCTTCCAAAAGTATAATTTATATAGAAACCGGAGAATATATATCTCAAACGATAGAGTAGTTGTAAGATATATGACTGGGCAATATCTCCGATTCAGTACTTGGGTATTAGAAGAATGAGTGCTATTATTTCAGGTGAACATAATGTTAAGGAATTAGGGAAAAAAAACTGGCTATGCTTGCTGCTTTTAGTTGCTGTTTTTCTGTTGTATATTTTCGGCAGAAGTCTCGATGATGAATTATCTTGTGCCGAAAACAGATTTTGCCTCAATTTTGTTACCTGAACATTATGCTGCATCCTTTTTGCATTAAGAAAATCAAAATATTACCCATGTTATATATATTATGTGCCCCTAGTGTTGCTGTATATTTGATTACCTCCTCTGAGGATTATAGATTGCTTTAAGTCCTTAGTCAAGATATATTGATCTCGGGAATTATTATCAGAGTGTTTTTTGGTCGGAAATATTGTAGATTGCTTCACTTATTGGCGATGTTGTTTCCCGAATTGTGTATGGTATCTTTTGACTCCTAAGTCCCAATAGAAGTTTCGCTAGTGAGTATTTTGATGCCCTAGAAGATTTATTTTGGATATGATAGTGGTCCAGTATCACATATACAATCTTTTGACCCATATTGTCGTAATGATATGCATATAGTTCAAGAAATAAGTTATGTTTCTGCGGAGCCATTGGCTAGCTATCCTGGACAACAATTATTGATTTCGATTGTTTTGGAAACTATTTAATTTAACTTATGTAGATTCTTCACTCATCTCATTTTTTTTTAAAAACCTCTATTTCTTATATGTAGGTCGCGGATGTGAAGAAGAATATTGAGACAGTTCAGGGTTCTAATATCTATCCTGCTGGTCAGCAAATGCTTATCCATCAGGGCAAAGTTCTCAAGGATGATACGACCTTGGAGGCGAACAACGTTGCTGAGAAAAGTTTTGTTGTGATTATGCTGACTAAGGTAGTTTATTATCTTGAGAAGCTGCTTCTCGAATTAAATTACTTCTCTGCAACTGTCTTGTTGATTTATATTTCTTGTGTAGCAAGGTTTTACAATGAACTGTTAATAAATAAAAGAGGTAGTAAAAATATCTCAATGACCAGGAGCAAAATACTGGTTTTATGTGGTGTTGCCCAATTCTTCCTCTGTGTTGTAGCTCGTACTGTTATATAACACAAACACAAACATATAACTCAACTGATTTTCATTTTGCAAATTTTGTAGAGTAAAGCTTCATCAAGTGGAGCTGCACCTGCACCGGCTGCACCATTGAGCACGGTAAGATTATCAACTATATATTTGTTCATTTTGGATTAGCAAGATCTGAAATACTGTCAAGGATGTGTGTCTGTACAGTTAAGGGGATAATGAAGTCTGTAATTTACGACATTTGCAACCCCAGAAAGAAGATGATTAGATTTGATGGTGAAACTAAAATCATAAACACAGGAATAAAAGGAAATAAAAAGTAAATGGAAAATTTTTGTAGTCCTTAAGGTATAATTAGCTCGATTTATGATTGTTATTCTTTTTATTGAAGAGAGTTCTCTCTGTTGTGGTTTAGTATTATTTAGCTGTATGTTTGGTTTCAGCAAGATAGAAAATGCCAATGCTCAAGCTGTCTGCTAGAAAATAAGCATGCCATTCAGAGTAATGTTCTGTTTCGCTGTTGCAAAACAATTCAGGATTCTAGATTGAATCTGCTTGGAGAGCTTTGCCGAACTCGAACAGAGTTTCAGCTTAATTGATCAAAATAGTCTGTGTCTCTTAGTAGATTTTACGAATTTGGACAAGGATTGCATTAACTTCACACATGAGAATGTAAAAGTTATATATATATATATTTCATGTTGATTCTGGAAATACTCGATAGTTATAATGGTTTCTATTTTGATTCTGAAATTGCATGAAGAATTATATATTCCGAACTATCTGCTGATATGACTGCTATTTGTTGGTTTATGTAATTACCTCTATAGGCCCAACCTGTGAGTAATACTTCTCAGCCGACGCAACCTGTAACAGCAGCTCCCACACCTGCACCATCCGTTGCTCCGTATGTTCATCCTGCTGTTCTAGTTTTAAGCTACTTTCTTATAAGACTTTCTCCACTCAATGTTCATATTTTAAATTGTCTTCTTCGCATTTGCAGTCTGCAATCAGCTCCTGAATCTGTTCCTGCTCCTGCCCCTGCTGCGTGAGTTTATTTGATGTCTTTATTACCTGGGATATTGATAAGATGATGTACTTTCTAAGGCTGTTCTTGAACTTACATGGCATTCAATCTTTTATATGCTTAACAGCTCGGTGGGTGTGTATGACCAAGCAGCATCGAATCTTGTTGCTGGAAGTACCTTGGAGACCACTGTTCAACAGATTCTTGATATGGGTGGAGGAAGTTGGGATAGAGATACAGTTGTTCGCGCTCTAAGAGCGGCATTCAACAATCCAGAAAGAGCTGTCGAATACCTCTATTCCGTGAGTCTCCTTCCAGAATTTTGTATTTTCTTTTTCCCTCATTTTGCCAAACATTTGTTGCACTTTAAGTTCGCCAAGAGGAAATTCTTGTATTTTATAAGGGCAGCAACAAAATTTTTGCTCGTTGTAAAATTAATCTTATCATTTTATAACCTCGGATGAAATTAATTTCAGGGTATTCCTGAGCAAGCAGAAATTCCTCCTGTGGCTCAACTTCCTGCTGGCGGTCAGCCTGTGATCCCTTCAACCCAGGCTGCTGCACCTCCTGTAGCAGCTCCCGGTGGTGGTCCGAATGCTAATCCTTTAGATCTCTTTCCACAGGTACGAATTTTTTCGTTAAAAGATAGAATAAATATTAACTGAAGAAAAATCAAACGCATTGAATTGAACTTTTCTTTTGGAGACAGGGTCTCCCAAATATGGGGGGTTCGAATGCAAGTGCTGGGACCTTAGATTTTCTCCGCAATAGTCAACAGGTACAAGAGATGCTTTTCTGAGTCTTTCCATCAGGAAGTAGTATAATTAAAATTTCACGGCCTTTTTCTCTTGGCATTATTATTATTCTTATTGTTAATGTTGTTTTAAAATTTTCAGTTTCAAGCACTGCGAGCCATGGTACAAGCCAATCCTCAAATCTTGCAGGTACTTATTTTACTTATATATGTGCCTGGTGATTTAAATGATTTAGGCATTAAAACTAATTTTCTAATCGCAATTTTATATTTACAGCCCATGCTTCAAGAACTCGGAAAGCAAAATCCACAACTAGTTCGTTTGATTCAAGATCATCAGGCTGACTTCCTTCGCCTAATAAATGAACCTGTTGAAGGGGAGGGGTGAGTAGTTTGGTTTAGTCAATAACATATAGCTGTGTTTGGATTCAGGAAAGATTGGGAGCTAAAGATTTGACTATATAACCTAATTTCTTTTAGTTGGATCTTTCTATATCTTCTGACTATATAATACGACAATGATGTTTTAGGAACATATTGGGGCAACTCGCTGAAGCAATGCCACAGACTGTGAACGTCACACCTGAAGAGAGGGAAGCAATTGAACGTGTAAGTTTTCCTTCTCCATTCCGAGTCACCTTCTTTACAAAATTCCAACAACATAGTTCATCTCATTAACTAGTCACTCCCCTATGAAATACCCCTTTTCTTGTATCCCTATGGAATCTTGTTATACTTTGACGAAATCTTAGATCTTGGAAATTAGTAGCCCAACAACTACATTATCATGTTATAAGTAAACTCGTAAGACTCCATTTGGAGGAAGTCATTTGAAATTCACACGAGTGTCTCAATTTATAACTGAAAAATGAGGGGTTTGGATATTAATCCATCGTCAAATCCATCTATCCAAACAAGTGCAATCGATTTGTTTTTACTTATTATGGATTTGAAATCCCGCCAAACCCTTCCATTCAACTAGAGCCTTGGATGATTAAGAAATTAAAAAATATGACTTGAAACTGAAGTTAGCAGACATCAGTTAATGTACGAAGATATGCATGAACAAGAAATTTCCTTGTGTTATATCTTTAAGAGAAGAAAACTGCAGGTCTAATGTTTCGTTTATTCATTTGGATAATGTTATTTGTGTGTTTTCCATTCCTTGACTAACCAACTGTGTAGTAATTACATATCAGGCAGTTTGAATTGTGGTGCCCACTCTGGATGATAAATTTATTAGAATGAAATTGGATTTTTATTTATTATTTCTTGAATAGCCTTAGTCGCTTGAGTACGTTTATTTTTCCTCCATTAGACGGTAGATATTTGTCTTAATTAATTTTCGGTAATATGAACTGCAGCTTGAAGCAATGGGTTTTGATCGGGCTTTGGTGTTGGAAGTGTTCTTTGCATGCAACAAGAATGAAGAGCTGGCTGCAAACTACCTATTAGATCACATGCACGAGTTTGACGACTGAAATTAGTTGAAAAATCGAGTGCGGAGTTGTCTAATTTTCGTCAATTTACTTTGTTTACCGAATTTGTTTTCTTTTCTTTTTTCCCCTTGCCGCGTGGTGGATTAATTTAGAATTATTGTTCACAGTGGCTTTTCCTTAAAACGGTATGATCTGGATTTTGGATGCACAAGTTAGAATTATTCTTAAAATTTATCGACGTCTTAAATATCTTCGTTTGTGTCGCACTATTTGGGCTCAATTTTCGCATTCTTTTGTGTTTAATCAATTTAAGTTTGCATTGCGTTGATTTTGTCTTCACGAGTGGTCAAATTATGATTTATTCCAATCACTACATCGGTCATATCAGGTTGATGCACCATAGAGTGTATATTCATTCTGTGTGAAATCGAATGCCCGATTTTGTTTCGAGATATACCCAAAAAATCTAAAATCAATATTTTGGAATTTGGAATTAGAAATTTCTGGAATTCATGGTGAAAATATTGTTCCAAAATCGAGAAATTTCGGGATATAAATTGGCAGAAAACGAAACTTTGTCTGGATATGCCACCCTTAGGAATGAGTCAAGCTTCCTGATTAGTTATTGGGAGAGAAGCAAAAAAAACATAAAATAAATAAAGGCCATCCATATTGGACTAAAGTTGAGGGCTGATTCAAAGTTAAAATAAATAAAAATCTCCGTCGACACTGTTGGACTACCAGAAGAAAAAAAAAAACAGTTGATTTTTCCACCATGAAAACAGTAGTCAAAATGCCATTCACAGAACATATTATATACACGTCAATACGTGTATCTAATGTATGTATAAAAGAGTTGTAACTTTGATCTTCTTTTTTCTGTTGTGAAGATTTTGTAGAACTCAACTGAACTTCTTTGTTGAGCTGGTTTTCGAAACGAACGCAGAAGCGAAGAGCGTAAACAAAAAAGAATGGGAAAGAAACTTAATGCCCTGTTTGGGAGAAGCTCAAAAGCAGCAAAGCTGAGTATGCTGACAAATCTTGCCATATCAAGAATCGACACTTTCAAAAACCTTCACTGCGTGAGATGCTCCCAAGCTGAGTCTGATGTCATCCAGCTCCTCCAACTCGGCCACCGGGAACGCGCTCTCCTCCGCGTAAGTTTCATCTCAAAAAACCAACCCGAAAAGAAAAAAAAAATTATTTTTTACTGAATTTGACTTGGCTTTCGTCGACAGGTTGAGCATGTTATCAAGGAGCAAACTACATTGGATGCATTTGTTCTGATGGAAAACTACTGTTATTTGTTGAGAGAGAGAAGCGAGATTGTCAAGACTAGCAGGTTTCATATTACTCTTGTTCTTGATATTTTTTCTTCGTAAATATTTTCTCTAGGCGCAGTTTCATTCTTTCAAGCATACGAGTAAAACTAAACTAGAAGAATCTGTTTATCGAGATATGTTTTTGGTCAAATACTTCGACATAGTTTATGATTTTTCCTAAACAAAATCGACATTAGGGAATAGTTTCAACTTTCACGTCTTCTGCTGTGTTCTCAGAACTGCTTGTATACGTAAAGACATAAGAATATATACATAGTATGAAGAAGGGTCTGATTATATATATATGTATATACATATATATATTATCTCGTATGAAGAAGGGTCTGATTATGTACAATAAATTCATACAGGGAATCATGTCCAGATGAACTAAAGGAGGCAATATCTAGCTTGATATATGCAGCTTCAAGATGTGGAGAGTTTCCCGAGATGCAAGAGATTCGTGGTTTATTCAAATCTGAATACGGACAAGAATTTGTCACTAGTGCAGTTGAATTAAGAAATAATTCTGGAGTGTGTCCTAAGGTGCATTTTTAATAATAATTTTTCGTTCAACAAAACTCGTTTTCTTTTCGTGTCCTGAAATCTTGACGACTTAAGATAATAAATAATAACTAGCACATGTTTCTTTAGATGGTGGCAAGACTATCGACAAGGCAAGCGAGCATGGAAATCAAGGAAAATTTGCTAAACCAAATCGCTAAACATAATGGGATCGCTCTCCAACTCGAGCAAGATATCTCCATAGAGGTAAAAACAATACACACACACACACACATAGTCGATAGGACTTAATTGTGGCGACTCAGTGATAGACTAGCCTAACATGAATCTCTCACTTTATACAAAAATTGCAGGAGAAATGCGAGGTTGAAGAATTACAGACGCAAGTATCGAATAAAAGTGCTACCCTCGAAGCTCAAAACGTCGAAGCTATTTCCCCAGAAACTCAAAGAGGCAACGACGATTATGATGATGACTCAGAGGAAGATGACTTATTTGACGATGCAAGAAGTGAATACGAAGAAACAACGCCAGAAATAGAAAAATAGACGTCATTTGAAAAAAAAGAGAGAAAGCCAATGAACTGAACAAGAGAGATAACGAGATTAGGAAACATTAGAGTATTTTTCCCACTTGAGATATTATCGAAACTAAGACAAGTTGGCTAAAAGGGTTTTCGTTTTATAGCAGTAAGTATATATTACTCCCTCCGGTTCATATTATCAATCGCTTTAGACTTTAGAGAATTATTTTTGTTCCATATTATTTGTCACCTTAGAGTTCTAATAATGTATTAAATTCATTTTTTTTTTCCCTGTTTTACACTCACTAATCCATCTCTACTAAGCACTAACTAGTAAAGGTTATCACCTCATTAAATAGTAAAGGTTATTTTAGTCTTTTTTCCATGCGTTTTTCCTAAAATTCAACCTTTTCTTAGTATGTGCGTAAGAACCTTAACCGACAATACGACAATCTTACAGGTTTTTATTTTACGATTTTTTTCCCTCTTGTCTCGTCAAGATCGTAGATCTGAATTTCCTATATACGATGACTGCATACTTGTGCTTTTCACAATTACAACATGCAGGTAAAGAACATATCAACTAGTAATCACAGTCAGTCCATTTGTTCTCCTTCCTAATAATAATTTTTTTTTTCGGCCAAAATAAAATTTAACTGAAAAATCTGAGATCATTGGGGCCTCGTTAAAACCTTGTAATAATTTATTAAAACCCTGATATACTAGTGCATTTATCCAGCCATGATACAAGAGCAGAGCTACAAAAAATTCAAGAAATAAATAAAATAAACAATAAAAGATGTAAAATACAAAAAAAAAAAAAAAAAAATGGAAAATTTTCGCACAATGCTCGACTATGCAGAACTTATCCATTGTGAGTAATTCTGGTTTTTCGTCCGAGTTATCGTAACAGCCAACTTCCATATGAGCACAATTTCACTTCATTTTTTTCACAACAACAGAAACCAGGAGTATTGCAGAAACAATAATTAACCAATGTAATAAAACAATTCTTCGGGAACCAAGAATTCGAAAAGCTCTGAATTTCATAATTGAAAATCCCACCAAATCATTTTTTTCCAAAAATCACTACTAAACCCTAAATTACAGCAATACATAAAAGGTACAAAAATGAAATGAAGAAAAACCTTACTAGGATGAATCTCCATTCTGCTGCCACAAATTGATGATGTCAGTAGCCTGATTGAGCAGCACAACAGCCTCCTTCTTCGAAATCCATGGCTTTCCCTCAAGCATAACCCTAAGCTCCTCCCATGCATCTTTTCTCGGCCAGAAATAGTACGGCGTCAACGGAATCGTGCCGCTGCCGCCGGGAATCACCTGGTCAATGGCGATTCCGATGTTCTTCTCCATCCATATGAATTTCACCACCAGCCTCGGTCTCTGCGCTGGCTTTACCACGACCCCCATTTTCTCCCTCGCTTGTTCGACGACGACGACGCCGTTTTCGTCTAATTCTCGGTTCGGCGAGTACGAGGAAGCCGATGATTTGACGGGATTGAGCGCTGTTTTGGGGAATTTAGAGAGAGAAGAAAAGGTTGATGGAGAGAGAAAGATTGGATTTTTTGAAGGATGGGGTTTTGTGCCTACTGCTTGAATCCCCATTGATGATAACATCTTCGTTTTTGCTTTGGGTATTTTGAACTGCCACTTCTAAATTACTCTCTTTTTTTATTTTCTTTTTTTATGGGTAAATAGAACTTTGCCCCCCTGTGGTTTCAAAGTTTGACACTTTCCTCCCCTTCTTGTATGATTTGGTCACTTTACCCCCTGGATTTGACAAATGGTAGCCGTCTGATTATCCGTAAAAGTTTAACCGTGAGTGTGTCTCACTTGCTTTAAATTGGCGTAGGTTGAGGTTTTCTAAGCTGGTTTTTTTTCTTCTAAATATACCTATCTTACTCCTTTTCACTTACTTTCTTTTTCCACTACTTCTATTTCGCTGAACAACCACGTTCTTCTCTTATTAATTTTTCTTTTTTTCTCGTGTCTTATTCAAGCAACAAGAGATTTGGAGCACATGAAAATGTTGATATTTAGTACAATGTGGAGGTATGTTCTTGTGGAAAAAAAAAAGCACTTGTGGAAATCGTGAAGTATGAGGTTAAGCTTTCAAGGGGTAGATTATATTTTGTATGCTCCAATGTAACTTGTGGCTTTCACGGATGATGCACTCCGTACGCGATCAATGGCAATCCAATTGCAATAACAACATCAAGTTATGGGGATGGATTTGAACAAATGATGGTTGCCATAAAGACAAGGGTTGAAGTTGTTGAAGTTAAACAAGAAATGGTGAAGCAAATGGTGATTTGATGTATTTTCTTCGTTTTTCATTTAATGAATGTAAGCTTTGAATAACTAGTGAACTACTATTAATGACAACTCCTACGATTTTCGAGCAATGGCTCTATTTTTTCCAAAATCATCGCATATAATCTTCAAAATCAATTAGCAATTGTTCATGTTTTGCGGTTCTCACATACAACAACCAACATTCACAAGACTAGACAAATAAAGAAGTTTTTAAGTTTCAAAAGATGGACAAAGAGCCCATACAAGTTCAAAAGGACCATAACATGCAAGAGGAAAATGGCTCAAAAAAATCAAAAAAATCCGAAAACACTTCACTTTAACAAATATTCAAGCATCCAAACTAATCTTTTCTTCACCGTCTCTTGAGTTTTTTCCTTTTCTTTTGCACCAACTGCTTTGCTTTTGCTTCCACCAACTGAAGTTGTCTTTGCTCTATGGAATAAGTATTACAAAAAATAAAAGAAATTCACTTGTTATGTTGGTTGGCCGTAACCATTTGTAGCAATAACAAGCGGTGAAGGTAGAGTCTTTCTTCTCTTTGATATATATTGTCGCTGGGGTTTTTTTAGTCGCGGTGAAAAAAAGCAAATCGAAGATGAAAAAAAAAATTGCATCCGTCAATTGTGAAAATTGGAAAGTTGAAAGCAGAAGATAATTCTACTGGCGAAATTGGTGGGATTTGATTTTGGTTTTCCAAATCACTCCTATGTTATTATCGCCGATATAGTTCAACGTAAAGGTAGTATCGTGAGAATTTTACCAAATGTGTGAAACAAATGGTTTTTTTTAATTCAGATATAACATCTAATAAGTTTTCTCACTAGGGATGCAGACCCCTAAAGAATATCTCCTACATTTATAAGTAAAAAAATTAAATAAAAAAATAATATTCTCCCACAGATCACTTAAAAACATCAAACCATTTATTTCAAGACAACATCCAATGCAAATAATTTGTAAGGACTATCAAGATTCAAGACCAAGCCTCAACATGGTATTTCCCAGCCTTCTCCAATGTCCTAATCCATCTAGAAGCATCTTCTCTCCCAACACCGCTTTCCGCCGAAACAATTTCCTCAAAAGCCGAAAACACATCCGCCGGCATTTTATTCGCAGAGCCAGCGATATATACAGCAGCACCTCGATTTAGCAAACTCCATATCTTCACACTTTGCTCTTTCATTTTGTGCTGTACGTAAACTTTCTTCGTCTGGTTTCTTGAAAAGGCAACATTGAATCCTCCGCCTTTCTCTTCAGACAGTACACCGTTCTTGTCTGAATGTGACAGCCAAAAATCACGGTACAAAAAGTCTTCCTTTTCGTTTCTACAGCCGAAGAAGAAAAGAATCGGTGCGGTTTGAATGTTTTTTTCAATCTGCAAAGATCTTTCTTCCACAAATCCACGAAAAGGTGCACAACCGGTTCCGGGTCCCACGAGAATGAGAGGAAGTGATGGAGGTGGTGGAGGAAGAGAGCCTTTACTGAACCATGCTGGTATATACACTCCTGTTTTGAAGGTTTTGATTGTTAAAATTAAGAAAATAAAAATAAAAACTCTAAATTAGAGTTAGGGAAAATTTCCATTTTCTATTGGAAGTTGAAAACTAATTCCGATTCCGTTCCAAAATAAAACTGGAATGAAAAACTTGTTCCATAATCAGATTTTTTGGATCCGAATCGACAGAATTCGGAAATTCCAATTTTGATATTTTAAATGTAATTTTTGGAAACAAGTCGGAATCTTCGGGAATTAAAATCGGATCGAAAATTGAAATCAAACATGTTTTAATTCCGTTAAAAAAGAAATTGGAGATCAGTATTTCGGAAACTGGAATTTTTTGGATCGGGATAGGCAGAATTTAGAAAGTCCAATTTCGATATTATAATTGTAATTTTCTGGAAAAAAGATCTGATTTTTCGGAAATCAAAATCAAATCGGAAATCGGGATATAATATGCATTCCAATTCCGTTAAAAAAATGAAAAAATAGAACTTTCGGAATTGAAAAATATTGTTCCAAAATTCAGAATTTTCGTATCAGAATCGATGGAATTCGGAATTTATGTTCCAATTTACACCCCTAAATTAAGGGGTATAAATATCATATAATTAATAATCGAGAAAACTTACTTTGCTGAGGATCAAGACTGGCGAGCCACGAGGAGCAAAGACCTGACCGTTTTCTCTTGTAAGGAGTAGTCCACGAGACAACGCTTACAGTTAAGTGCACTTCGTTTGGATGTACTAAATGAGAAGAAGATATCGAAAAGGCCCTTGTTTTTAGTGGTGGGACCAGCTGTACAAGCCATTCGAAGGGCATACTTACAGAGGGAAAATCCTCCAGTACCTATACAAATGAAACGAATGAGGCAATTTTTTACGAGTCATTTTCTTACTTTTTTATAAAGAATATAAATATACATACATATATATGTATATATATATATATATATATATATATATATATATATATATATATATATATATATATATGGTTGCATGAAAAAAATTGATCCAATATAACCATTGTGTGAATTGTGGGATCTTGAATTTACATTTAAGTCCAATAAAAATATCTATAATTCTAAAATCGAGCTGGCACAGAAAATAATAATATATAATATATATATATATATATATATATATATATATATATATATATATATATATATATATATATAATCACCTCCAACACTGTCCTTCGTTCCTTTTGGTTGTATTGGTACAGATCGTCTCTTCCTTCGGGGGAGGCAAAATATTGAAGCCTTTCTTTTTCATGTTCAGCACTGGCAAAGAAACTCATGACCTGAATAAAATTTTATCCAAGATGAATAAAATTGTAATTAATACCCATAATTAATGATTGGCCAAATAATATACAGCATAACAGCTAAATGAATAAAGCAAAAATATTTGGCAGCAATTAATATCTATATTCAATAGTACCTCGAAAAAATAGCGTCTAGGGGAAGCAGATGAAACATCCATTGTTAGCTCAACAAAGGATTTCAATTTCGCGGGGAACAGTGTATGAACAAGAAAACCACGACTCTCTTTATCTCTAGGCTGAACCTGAAAACAATATTCAACGGAACAATTGTGAACAAACAATTCAATATAAAAAAAAAAAAAAAACTAAACACGAGATTAAAAGGAGAAATAACATAAGGAAGTTAAATTAGAGAACTACCTACAGTTATGTATGATTCAGGGTTCAAATCACAACGTTGTATGAAAGCATCGAGTGCAGCTGAACTTTGGCCTGGAAGAACTTCAAGAACATCACCCACTTCATAATCTATCGACTGCAAAAGAAAATTTTAATTGACAATCAATGATAGATTAAGAAATTTTACATTAATTTTGAAATCAGTAACTTCATAAACACTCGGTTTCAGAATGTTTAGTCTGACTTACAGATGAAACAGCTTCAAACTCAAAGTGACGTACATCCTTCCCATTGTCCGGTGTACTTAATAGATGATTCTTGGTCTACATAAAAGAGAAGAAAAAAAATCTAAAATGATCACAAATATGGAAATTTAAATAAAATATGTCCGGTGTAGGGGTACACATCATACTATAATCTTTTTGAATTAAAAATAAATAAAATCAAATATATTGCCTACCATTTTCAGGAGGCAATCAGGCCTGTTCTTGCCGGACAATTTTCCGGGAGTCATTGATCGAGCCCTCTCAATTTGCATCTCTAGATATTTCAAATCTGTAACACCAAATTCAGATTTGAATGGTTAAAGCTGGAAAGCAAAGAACCAAGGAAACAGTTATGCATGAATCAAGAATAAATGCAATGCATTTAAAAAATAGGAAACACTTCAGCATTAAAAAGCATAAAGAAAATACAGAACCAAAATCGCAGTCACTTGGTTCTACTAAATCAAAATGAGGTCCAAACGCAAGCCGACAAAGGAGAAACAATGCAATTGATTCGTATTTCTTAGCCCGACTGATCACAAAGTACAGACAAAATAGTTGTGCGACAAATTGGAGTACAGTAAAAGAAAATGAACGATGAAACTTTTTTCTCATTTCTTAGATTGCTTGCTTCATTGTGTGTCCAATGACTACAGATAAGAGACATGTGATGGTTTTCTCACTCGTCATTTTACAATTATGAATTTTCTCCTAATCTTAAATTCCTCGAGACAAATCATTTGCATCTCATTAGTGTCTGAAAAATGTAAAGTTAATACAAAGAATAAATCCACTGGAAATGTTAAACGCAAGAAAGAGAGATCCTGATTTTAAATTCTAAGAATAATAGGTTTAGTAAATAATCGACCTGTGGAGCTTGAAAGTGGTGGTACCGCTTCTTCAGCATCATGATATATAATCTGTATTTTAGGTTGATCTATTAAAGTTGCATCGGGAGCCACAAAATTTGGGCCGTTTGGAAGTAAATTGTGATTCTTTTCGTACAGCATATTCCACAAGGCAGACATCCAAGGATCTAGAGCCCCTTCATACCTGTCAATGAATTATAAGCATTGGCCAAACATTTAATTTGGTCAACTAATACAATCAAATAATTTTACAGATAAATAAAACGATGATCGTAAGCGTTTAGGACTGATTAAAAAGGCATCTTCATAGGAGTACATACCATATGGAAATTAAAAACAGTGTGAACAGATGGTTTTCTACTCGTAAGATAGATGGCTTTCCATGGTATTTTTACAAAGTTTCATGCTAAGATTGAATATCATTTAATGTGACTATTTCCATCAAATAGAGATTGCTTAACGCAAAAGTCCTGCGTATTTTTTTCTTCTATTTATTACTTTCTTCCACACTTTCCTATGCACAGATGTTTTGCGGTTATTGATCAAACCACATCTGGGTACTGCACTCATTACCTAAGTTGATTTACTTTGATAGTAAAAGAAACCGATAGAAAGTACAACATATTTGATGTAGGTAAGCCAAAAATATAACGATTAAAATTTAGGGTAAAATTCATTTTGCACCCCTGTACTATCACGTAATATGGCCAAGAGTTAAAAGTTTACCCTGAAGGGTGCTGGTCATCTCCCAGGCCTCTTTCTACAATTGCGTCTGCACCAAGATCTGACAGCCGTTTGTCCAACTTCTTTGCCACAAACTGCAAACAGAAAAATGAAAAAAATTGTAGGATAAAATTTTGAAGATGCAAAGGTCATCAATTTTATCGTGATGGAATTTACTATGATGAGGGAATTGCAAGATTAAGCCTCTAGTTACAGCTATCGTATGAAAACTTAATCGCAGAAATTATGAGATCAAAGAAAATGCGATACTAAATTTAGCTATCATATGACAACACCCTCGATTTAATGAGATTTCATGAACTGAAAAAAGTAATGTATACGTAACTAAAGAGATAGGTGCAAAACATATGTAATGGTAGATTGGCGTTAACAAACTAACAGTGTAAGACCCGACCTATTGTATCAAGAGAATAGCAATATACAATCATTATTTAATTATTTATACAACAAACATAATATAATGAAAAAATAATACACAGAGGATTTAGCAAAATTTTAAGTTATTAAAAACTAATACCAACCCCAATCCACCCTTACATTGTATTTTTGGTAGCCCGAATCACCCAATCCAAACACAGCATAGTGAACTCCTTTAAGCCACTCTCTCGTCAAGTTCTTTTGCAATAGGAATCTCCAAAATCCCTGTAAATATATGAACCAATACATAAATTACAAAACTACGAAGGTGAATTAAATAGCTCCATGAACATTTGATTCTATTATTTCAAATCGTATATAACCTTCATAGAATCCGGGTTGTCTCCTTGACCCGTGGTTGACACCACAAAGATCACTGCCTCCTTATTTGGCAAGTCGCTCTGAATATAAAAATATTATATAGATGCTATCAGATTATAAGTTCCAAAAAGAAAATAATTCCAGAAAATGACTATTTTATGATCTCTTCTCAAATATTACAATTTATAAACGTCGGATTTAGTGTAAAAATGAGAGAGAGTGGGAACACACGGGTTGAAATTCATCGACGGAGAGGAGACAGACAGATGGGCAGCCACGGCGCTCGGCTTCTCTGACGAGCCGCTCGGCAGCATCCATTGCATTACCTGTTTGCGAAGCATACAATATGAGCAGCTTCTTATCAACTCCATCCTCCATGGAGCCCATATTTTCTGCTGCAATTAATATGTCATCGGTTAGAAAATCTTTGCATAATGCATGAACATGATATGAATACGGATTAATCCAAAATATAGAGATTAAACATAGTTTTATGAGAAGTACAACATGATTCTTTGATCAGTTTTTTCGAAATAAAACAAGTGCTGTTCATTTCCTAAGAAAATAAGTTCTTATATGTCGGTGTGAACAAACCACCGACATATAATATAACTTTCTAGTAATGGTTATGATATATTCAATAATAAGAATCGTCTCCTTCTTCTTACTGACGGTAAACAAGACACACACACACACACACACAGAGTCATATCTTGTATCTACACTCATATGGTAAGCCCACGAGAAAATTCCCAATTTACCAAAACGGTACACCGTTGAGGCTCTAATTGGATCGTGGATTTTGAAATGAGGAAAATAAAATCAAAGATTATTTTTATACCTCAAATACTTTCTCTAATTTTGTTCGATTTCGAAGTAAAACATTGACGAAAATAATTGTAAATTAGGAAAAACTAATCAAAAGTCCAATTTTTACCCCGAACACGGTTATCATGTGAAAAATCTAAGACTCCAATAATCAAAATAACATCAGCGAAAAACTACAACGCCAATCCTTCATCTTCATGAAAATAGCAACAAAACAAGGTAAAATCCATCAAACAAAGAACAAATTAATTTGAACTGATGGTCTTCGACGACAGTTCATCAAGTTCATTGGTGGTAACTGTGGATTCCAAACAAGAAATTTGTATTACTTTGACACCAATTTCGTCAAATCTAATGAAATCCTACAACAACTGATGCCTCAGTCGCAAGAAATTTCTCCTTCGGACGAAAATCTCAGGTTCTAATTCAAATTTTCGCACTTCAATTTAGGAAATAATAAACATAAAAAAATCCAGAAAAAAATTGGACGGAAATTCATACCTGAACAAACTTGCTTTCCTCCTTTCGTTGTTAAAAAAGAAGCGCGCTGTTAAATCCTCGCTTCTAATTAATTCTCCCACAACGTTATAAACTGCATATAAGTGTTCTTCTACTCGTGGGCTGGGCCCATTTAACTGGTAGAATGTTCAATAATTAGGGTAAATTACACCCACGCCTCTGAGGTATGCTAAACTAATTTTAAGGTTCATGTAGTACCGACAATTACACTCACCCGAAACATACTTAGAAGCTCTAATGGGATAATGCATTGGATACGTTATTCTAATAGAGTTCTAACGGACTATTATTTGTAGTTATTGGTGGAGACAACATAAAGTTAAGGGATGACATGGCTCCCCCAACATTTCTTAAATCACCCCTAACTCTATGTCCGTTACAACTCTATTGGAATCACGTGTAAAATGCATCATCCCGTTAGAGTTTCTAACAATGTTTAAGGGTGGTGATTATAACTGCCGATAGCACAGGGACCTTAAAGTTATTATTTTAGCATACCTCACGGGTGTAGGGGCACCGCTCAGAAAATGTCAAATTACGAAAAGACCCCTCATGTCTAGGTAATTACAACCACCTCTCAACTGTGAATTTTCTTACTCGTCCACCCTTATAGTGTCAAATTTAGTGAATCTTCTAAATTATGGATTATGTGCAGTATTCTCCAATTTATAGTCATTTTACCCTATTGGAGCTCCACATTTTGAAATAAGATGATTATAAGATGCGTTTTTTGTCTTGTAAATATCAGATTGTTGTGCGTCAGAAACTGCATATTTGCACAAAACGAGTACAAACCAGAGAACATTCCACGTAACCTAGAGGATTTTGTGGAATCTCACATCATAAGGGTGTGGATAAGCAAGAAGCTTCATATTGAGTGACTGGCTGTAATTACCCAAACAATAGGAGTTTTTCGTAATTTAATTTACCTGAGGGGGTCGTCGTAATTTACCCTTGTATATTGCCCAAGTTGGGTAAATTTAGAGAATTCCAAATACTGTAGGGGGGCATAAGCGCAAAATGATCTAATTTACAGCAAAACGACGTCGTATCGCAAGAAAACCCTAAACAAAAACCCTCTTCCCCCCACTCCACACTCTCTCTCTTTCTCTCACTCGTCTTTCAAACTCTACGAACCTCGGATCTAGCTCTGGCTTTTCGGTACGCTACTCGTCTCATCTTACTCGATTCACACTACGCAAGTATTTTCGTGTAAATCTCTCATTTTCGAAGTAATTTTTCATTTACTCATTTTCGATTCGGCTGCAGAGATCTGATTTCAGTGCGCAAGTATGTCGATAAAGGTGTTGAATCCGAACGCGGAGGTGCTGAACAAGTCTCACGCACTTCACATGAACATCAACGCTGCAAAGGGTCTCCAGGATGTGCTCAAAACTAATCTCGGCCCTAAGGGAACTATTAAAATGTAATTTCATTTCTTTTGATTTTTCACCTTATTCACTGTTCTTCTATTTATATGTTTATTATATATATATAATATTTTTTTTTTTTAATTTGTGGATTTATGTTGGTAACCCTTGATTTTGGTACTGGTAGGCTTGTTGGTGGAGCTGGTGATATTAAACTCACAAAGGATGGGAACATACTTCTGAAAGAGATGGTGTGTTTCTCTTTCGTTTTTGCGCACTCTTTTTTTTTTTGGGTACTTTTTATTTTCCTCCAAAATTGTTGCTTAGTGAAAATGGTTACTTCTGATTTATCTCTGGTTGATGTTTTGCTGTTATCTGCGTCTTATTATTGCTGTTCTGAGTTTTGGCACTGGAAATGTATGCATACATCATATGGTATCGGGATTTGTTTGTTTAGCAAAAAAAAAAAAATATAATCGTAAATGTTTAGTGCATAGCGAGTGTTCCAAGATATTGGCATCTAGGGGTGCCATTCGCAAAAATGGTTGTGATTTTTTTAAACCCGGTTAGAGGATATATTTTATAGCACTAATATTATTTCTTGAACATCGTAGTGATTGTTTTTTTGACTGATTTGAGACATAAGGGAGGTGAATATTGTTTTCTTTTAGTACTAAGGTTAGAGAGTTAGAAAAGACTTGGATTGGCACCAGTTATGGGGCCAAAGAAATCTTTAGCTTTTTATATACTCAAATTGATGCCTTGCTTCAAAATAATGATGTAACTAGGACTCGTAAGTCACTCAAAAATAAATTGCAAGAGGAAATCTTTTTGCAGGAGGTGTATTTTGATTTGGTTCTGCCAATCTGTCTATCATTTAAATGATTGTTGAGTTTAGTTTTAATTGCTACTCAAGCACAATTGTTTACCTTCAAATGTGACATTTCTCTCACAACACAATTTTTATGAACGATGACAGCAAATTCAAAGTCCAACAGCAATAATGATTGCTCGTACTGCTGTTGCTCAAGATGATACAAGTGGAGATGGTACTACTTCTACAGTCATCTTTATTGGTGAGCTCATGAAGCAATCGGAGCGTTACATAGATGAAGGTAAGCAAGCTTTACTTTCCTTAAATGATCCACATTAGTGAAGTATTGCCTGGGGTGTTTATTCTGTAAAAAGCGGTACTGAATACCATACCATTCAGTTGCATGCTAAAAAAAACCAACCACTACTAAACTCTTTCATTTGCATGCTAAAGAAAATATCAGCAAATATTACATCTTACATAAGGTAGATGATAAAGTTGTTTGATCATATTTACCAGTATCAGAGAATCTGTAGACCGTGCATAAATTGGTGCTCAGATTCGAAAAATAATTGTAAATGCCATATTATCTGTGTACGTAGCTGGTTGAATGAGTAACTTCATTACAAGTATGGAAAAACAGATTTTAGTCATCCCGTTATCTATGGATATATTTTCCTTACAGTTTTTTTCTGGTCATTGCTCCTAAATTATGCTAGAAGATCACATTATCTTACCTAAACTATATCCCAGTGTTTGTATAGATCGAGGAAATGAAGAAACTACTTTCTAATTTTTTTTAAAGAAGTACAAAGAATTCGAAAGCGTGTGAGGCCGGTTTGAGGGTGGTCTGTTTGATTAGTTGCATTCCTCTTTTTTTATGGTTGCCTGTCTTTATGTGGGCGCGTGATGCTCATTTTTCCTGGTTATCAGTATCTTTCCAAGGAAAAAATTGGTTGTTTGACATTTGTATTACTATGTTTTGGCTTGTAGAAGGGTAATATGTGAAGATATGTTTTTTTTGTTATATACCAAGATATGGTTGAAATAGCTGCGGTTACATATATGTCTTGAGTTTGGTAGCATTAAAACTTAATAATTACTATTGCAGGAATGCATCCACGAGTTCTAGTAGATGGATTTGAAATAGCTAAAAGAGCAACACTCGTGTTTCTTGAAAAATTCAAGACCCTTGTAGTGATGGGAGATGAACCTGATAAAGAGATATTGAAGATGGTGGCAAGAACAACCTTAAGGACAAAGGTTGCTTCAGCCACTATATTTCTGAGTTACATCATGTAATTATATCATCTTAATTGTATTTTTAAATGCTAAATTCATGTTTGTTTGTTCATATTCAGCTATACGAGGCACTGGCAGATCAACTAACTGAAATTGTTGTAAATGGTGTAAGTGCTTTCTTTTAACATTAAATTTCTTCCACCTTTTATATGTATGAATTAGCCTAGTATAGATACAAATTATTTTATCAGATGGAAATCCGTAGTTACCTTTATTTCTAAGCATCTTTCTTGCAATGCTCTAGGTGCTCTGCATCCGCAAGCCTGAGGAACCTATTGATCTTTTTATGGTTGAGATAATGCACATGCGCCACAAGTTTGATGTAGACACTCGTCTGGTACGTCAGCTTGATAACTTCTGAATTGTTTTAGATTCTTCTAAATGTTTCTCGTGAAATAGAGTCCTTTTTTTGCTTTTGCTTTTACTCACTTACTCATCAGTGGTCATCAAATGTTGCATTTGGTCTGATATGGGCATTAACTTGCAAAGTTTACCTGCTTGATTATGTCTGTATTTGGCATCATTGTGCCTTATAATATATGAGTTTATGCCTGTGGTTTATGTGTGCATTCTCATGTCTTGCTGCTGTTCTAGATTGAGGGTCTTGTTCTTGACCATGGTTCAAGGCATCCTGATATGAAACGTCGAGCAGAGAATTGTCACATCTTGACTTGTAACGTATCCCTAGAGTATGAAAAGAGGTAATGATTTTTGAATTTGTTCTATTATCTTGTGTTCTATTGCTGTGGTTTCTTCGTTATCATGAGTTGTAGGACTGACATTCTTTTGGACAGTGAAATAAATGCAGGATTTTTTTACTCAAGTGCCGAACAAAGAGAATCTATGGTTGCCGCAGAAAGACGATCTGTTGATGAAAGAATCCAGAAGATTATTGATTTGAAGGACAAGGTACAAGTCTGAGGGTGCAATTGACCATTTTAATGGGCATGCCATCATTTACGTGTTTTCTTATAGATGGCGATCCTTGGTTTCATTTCCAGGTCTGTGCTGGTAATGAGGACAATTTCGTTATCATTAATCAGAAAGGAATTGATCCTCCATCACTGGATATTCTTGCTCGAGCAGGCGTAAGTTACTACCTTTTACTTCTAATAATATAGCTATTACGATAGACTTCGTGTTCGTTATCAGGCATTAAGACTTCATCTAGTCAACAGAGTTTATCTTAGACATCTTTTGATTCCTTTCTGGTGTTCTTTTAAGTATCAGTTCACCATAAATATGGTTATGCTGGTGGAACTGACATGGTATGGGTCAAGCTTTAATACAGTGGAAAAACTATCTGGTTGTAGTTGCAATTTATTTTCTCCATTCTCAATATTTAGATAAATAATCTCTGCATTATCTCAAGAAAGTTGGTTTTATTAATAATCTTTTTTCCCAGATTCTGTTATCCGACTCTTAGATTTTTTTATGTTATTTGGTATTGACGGATTTACGATTATGTATTGTTTCATGATATTAGTATCTTACTTAATTTTCTACTGTTGCATTTGGATTTTCGTGATAATTTTAGATAATTGCCCTTCGAAGGGCAAAGAGGAGAAACATGGAGAGATTGGTTTTGGCTTGTGGCGGGGAGGCAGTAAATTCTGTTGATGACCTAACCCCCGAGTGCCTTGGTTGGGCTGGATTGGTCTATGAGCATGTACTTGGAGAAGAGAAGTATACGTTTGTGGAGAATGTAAAGAATCCCCACTCGTGTACAATCCTTATTAAAGGTACTTTTAATAGCTCATCTGACTGTCGTAAAATTTTCTATCTCCATACAATTATACCTGTTGGCTAGTGGTACTCTCTTGATTGCGTATTCTAACCTGGTGTTGGATGCTTGCTTCTGTTGATTGTGTTTGCACTAATGCAATCTTTGTGCAGGACCCAATGATCACACAATTGCTCAGATTAAGGATGCTATTCGTGATGGTTTGAGGGCAGTGAAAAATACTATTGAAGATGAATCTGTTGTACTGGTAAGTTACCACATTCATCGAGTTCCTTGTTCTTATGTTATCTTTTTAGCTGTTTTAATCAATATCTTACTGCTTGGAAAATGAGAACAACCGATGTCTGAAACCATGATATTGAAGACCTTTAAGGCCTCGTTTGGTTTCCAAGATAAGATTAGCCAAGATAAGATTAAATAATCTAATGAAACCCAATTATATTATTGGACCTTCGATGATCCAATAAAAAAACATGCCTGAAAGGCAACATAAGACATGATAACATAATATTTGCTGGTCGACCTTACAAGTTATTGGGAATACCAAACATCAAACAAAGTCCTATCATTTAGTTACTCATGGCTAATCTCCCCAACCAAACAAGGCATAAGGCCTCGTTTGGTTGCCAAGATAAAATTAAATAATCTAATGAAACCCAATTGTATTATTGGACCTTAGAAGATCCAATAAAAAAACATGCCCAAAAAGCAAGATAAGGCATGATAATAATATTTGCGGGTCGACCCGGCAAGTTACTGGGGATACCAAACATCAAACAAAGTCCCATTATTTAGTTAATCATGGCTAATCTCCCCAACCAAACGGGGCCTAAGGATACAACTATTGGCTTGATATTCTGTTTTTTTCTCTAATCGAGTCGTTCTTGTGCATATAACAGGGTGCAGGGGCTTTTGAGGTGGCAGCCAGACAATACCTGGTTAATGAAGTGAAGAAAACAGTAAAAGGGGTATGTCATTGTGTTTATCTGCCTATGTGAATCTACAATTTATTTTTCTCGAAACTTCTTAAAATATGCAGTTATTTAAGAATAGGGTATTTTAAGCAGTTGGTAATTTTGTTTGGTTTCGATTATGACGTTGGCAAACTTTGAATAGCGTGCTCAACTCGGTGTGGAAGCCTTTGCGGATGCACTGCTCGCGATTCCAAAGATCCTTGCTGAAAATTCAGGCCTCGACACTCAGGATGCCATTATCGAACTCACGGTAATCTATATCTTTCATTTATATACCAATTTTGATGAATAAAAAAATTAATTCAATAGAGTTTCATTATTAGCATGTCGTTGTAAGATTAATTTGTTCTTTACAGGGAGAACACGACAAGGGAAATGTGGTTGGACTCAATATTAACACTGGTGAGCCTATTGACCCTAGAATGGAGGGTATCTTCGACAACTACTCGGTCAAGCGTCAGATCATAAACTCGGGGTATGTCTAAAGTTCAATGCTTTTCACATTTGCTAATGTGCATAATTCTGCACTTTAAACATATTTGCTCTTATTTAAGATGGTGCTTGCAAAAAGTGAGTAAAGTTGTGAATAATTGCTTATTTTTTTAAAAGTCGGGGTGTTTACAAATAACATATTAAAATTAACTTTATGTCGTCGTTGCAAATCAAACTTCAAATTTCAATTTATTTTTGGGAATTATTTTGTGATCGTTTGTTTAACCTCTTGTCATTTTGCAGCCCTGTGATTGCATCACAGCTTCTACTTGTGGACGAAGTTATTCGTGCTGGTCGTAACATGAGGAAACCTACTTAGTTTCGCCAATCCTTCACCTTTGCACTTGCGCTCTTAGTTTTTATTTCGTGGTTTTCGGAAAAAAAAAAAAAAAAAAACTGTAATTTTGGTGATTTGCTTTTGCTTTGTTATATTATTGCGCCCGGCAAATTTTGATTAAGGAAATATTCGGTAGTTAGAATTTGTGACTGAATATATATTCGATCTGTATTATCAATTTAGTTATGTCTCGAATCCTGGGCTCAGTTGTTTGGAACCAAATTTCAACAAATTTTTGCATGTCTATTTATGACTATTTTGAAATGAACTTTATTCGGCCTTCCGATTGGTTAGTATAGTGTCGATTATTTGCTCCGATTTTTATTCATTCTTCATATTTTCTCGTTATTGTATATAACGCACGGCAATATTGTTTACTTTTGTCGAGATCTCGTTAAAATTACAAAAAAAAAAAAAAAAAATCATATTTTTAGCATTTGAAGAATTGAAATTCCTTTATAGGTTTTAAACCAGTAAATATGTTTAAAATGTTATTTATGTTTTTCCATTTTACTTTCATAAAAAGAATTTAAATGTGCATTAAGAAACACGAAACATTAGCAATTTAAAAATAAAATTTAAATGAAACTAATTATATTTCTGAAAATATATACAGAAAAATAAAATATTGGCATGGATCTAATTCAGTCAAATACATTCGTCCCCACAGCCCATCATTAATCCCGTGAAGCGAAATGAATGATGCCCTTTACTGCGAAATGACCAAAAGACCCTTTGACCAGTCAATGCCAGCGTGTCGCATCCAATGCCCGAAAATAGCATAACTCCGACTCAGCCCACCAGCTGTCGCTTAATCATTGGCCCGCCGCTCCTCTTCCCTAACCCCCGTACTATTTAAATTCCCCATCGTCGCTCTGCCCCATTTTTTTTCTGTCAAGGTGAATTCATTTTCGAAATCGAAGCCAAGATCCATTACTAGAGGTACTCTCCTTTTACTTTTTCATTGTTTTTTATTTATTTATTATTTTTTGTTTTAATTTTTGATCGATTTTTCTGGAGTTGGGGGCTAGGGTTAGGGTTAGATCTCTATACTTTGAGCTTTTGAATTTGGTTTTCTTTTTTCGTGTTTGGCTAGTTATTTGTAGAATTAGAATCGTAGATCTGGTGATTTTCAGTTGGATTTGAATGAAAAATGGATTGAAGTATTTGTGAAATCTGGAAAACATGCTATCTGTTATGATTTGTTTGAATTTTCTTGTGCATTGATGATTTAGTTGCAATTATATGCTGGAGAAATAGTACTTGAATTGGATTTTAATTACTTCAGTTCTAATTTCTTTATAGAAATGTTTGGAATCAAAAATTTCAAATGCCCTTTATATGTAAATTGGAAATTAGATTTTTTATTAGGAATGAATTGGAAATGTGTCGACTATTATAAGCTAAATTTGTGTTTATGGTAGGTTAATTTTGTAATAAATTAAGCAAAAAAAAAAAAAGAAACTCTAAATCTAAGATTTTAACTGAATTTGGTGCAGGTCCAATACTTTTTAGCGAATAAAAAAACATGTCTCGTGAAGAAAATGTGTACATGGCCAAGCTGGCTGAGCAAGCAGAGCGGTACGAAGAGATGGTTGAGTTCATGGAGAAGGTTGCAAAGTCAGTCGACAGCGACGAACTGACCGTGGAGGAAAGGAATCTCCTCTCAGTGGCATACAAGAACGTGATTGGTGCTAGGAGAGCTTCTTGGAGAATCATCTCTTCAATCGAGCAGAAAGAAGAGAGCCGTGGGAACGAGGATCACGTGAAGATTATCAAGGAATATCGTGGTAAGATCGAGATGGAACTTAGCAAGATCTGTGACGGAATCTTGGGACTGCTCGAATCCCATTTGATTCCGTCGGCATCTTCTGCTGAATCGAAGGTGTTTTACTTGAAGATGAAGGGTGATTATCATAGGTATTTGGCTGAGTTCAAGACTGGTTCTGAAAGGAAAGAAGCTGCTGAGAGCACTTTGCTTGCATACAAATCTGCCCAGGTAAAAATAAATTCTCGTTTTTTCGACAATAGTTTTTATTTTATTTTTTTTATTTTTTTTATTTTTCTATCTATAATGCAGGATATTGCTGTTGGTGAGTTGGCGCCTACTCATCCGATCAGGCTGGGGCTTGCTCTTAATTTCTCGGTTTTCTATTACGAGATATTGAACTCTCCGGATCGTGCTTGCACACTTGCGAAGCAGGTATTCTCTTAAGAATATTCCCGTGTTGTTTGAAGCGTTGTGCTTGTATGTTTTACGTGTTCAATTGCTAATTTTTTTTTTCTTTCTTTTTTTTTTTTTTTTTTGAAGGCATTTGATGAAGCTATTTCTGAGCTGGATACATTGGGCGAAGAGTCGTACAAGGACAGCACATTAATCATGCAGCTTCTACGAGACAACTTGACTCTCTGGACTTCCGATGCAGCGGTATTTCCTAACTTCTATTCCTATCCTTCAAACGAAATTCTAAAATAATTTTTATTTGTTGCATATTTAATCTCGTAGTTTTATTTTACTAGATGTGCTGAAATATGAAATATCCCTTATCCGTTGCTCTCTTGAAATATATTATTTGCTCGTTTTTTTCCAACACATTAGCATGCCATCTCGTTGTTATATTTTACCAGATGTGCTGAAATATGAAATATCCCTTTTCCGTTGCTTTCTTGAAATATATTATTTGCTCGTTTTTTTTCCTACACATTAGCATGCCACATCCTATTGGATTGAAAACCTAAGTTAATTACTTAAAAATTGATTTCATTTTTAGGATGATGCTGGGGATGAGATCAAGGAAGCTTCGAAACGTGATTCTGGGGAGGGACAACAGTGATGAGTTTGTGCTGGTTACGTTTTATTCTGTACTTTTGTTTCTCTCTCTTTAGTATAGAATTCGTGTTGTAGGGTGACGAGTAACGGTGGTTCTTACGTTTTGAAATGTTCCTTTTTTTCCTCATTTTAAGCGTGATAATCCTTGAGAAGTGAACGTGGATGGTTTTTAGTTTTAACTAGTTATTTCTATTCGAGCGAGTTGATTTTTTATTTTATTTTTTTTATTCTGATGATATCGTTTGATTACGGAGATTGATTTGCAGTTTGAGTAATGAACTAAATGGCTTGTTCGAGAATTCGAAAGATCTATTCTGTTGAGTTGGCTTCTCTCTGGTATGAGCTGAAGTGGTTATAAATCTAATAATAAAGTTAACAAACATGAACCTTCTTATGCGTATTTTATTTTTCGAATATTCCTATAGTTTTTTTTTAAATCCAATTCCGAAACGGGAGGGGGTAATAAATAGTTCTGGCCCCCTCTTTCGACATGATACGATGATTCTGCTGCTTCAAATACCTGTAATTTTGACATGGTAAAATTAACTTCCTCTGTTACTGTATTAGAACACATACTACATAACTAAAGCTAGTTCAGAAAAAAAAAATAACATATTAAAAACGAGGCAATAAAAACACGTGTACCAGGTTATTGATGTTGATTTGAAAAGGCAGAAAAGGCGATTCTTGAGAAACTTCTTCTCGCCCGTGTTTCTTATGGTTTGTTTCCATGCATCTAAAATTCGAGTGTGTTTAGATCTTTGAGTGTTTGTTCTTACATACGTGTTGTTTTTCTCTCATTTGTTGATCTTACTTCTTAAAGGCATTTTCTGTTACACTTGTCATTTCAGAGACTGGTTGATTTTCTTTTTTTTTTTTTTTTTTTTTTTTTTTACATTTGTCTTTTCGAATCGATATATACGTCGAAGAGTTTCAAGACATGCCGTTGATTTTGATGCATCTGCTAATATAGTTAATTATAAATGCAGGTGAAATGTTATATGGATTTGTGTTTCTGGCATTTGGTGTTCACCAATACCTTGTTTCTGCATCACACTGATGATGTCATATGTTTATTACTTTGAATTCAATTGCAAACATTGTACTAGCATTTATTTTGTTGAGATGAAACCTGGGATATTTTCATGTCGTAATATAAAAATAATAAATTTAATTATATTTAATTTTTAAGGTCTTGATAGTTGATACATTAGTTTGTGCAGTGCTCGTGACTAGTCAATTGTGGGTTTTCAAAATTGACCCATTTTAAGTGACAAATTAAAAGCAAACTCAACCATAATAATTGTGCTTTAATCAAGCTCAAGATTGTAAATAAAAAATTCTATCAATGGATTTAAAAAAAAAAAAAAAATCAAACTCAACACTTTGTAAAAAGGAATATGATCCCAAGTGTACCCCGGAGCTTTTGTAAAATGACTTCTTAATTTCATATAGTCGGGCCAGTAATTTTAACCCATCCATATATAAATATAAATGGGCCGATCGGTGGTTTTCAGCTTACTCAAATGTCGGCTAATCGGGTAATGTCGACCAACCGATCGGCTTTTTTTAATAATACAAACTTATTAAAAATATTCAATTATATTGTAGTCTTAATGTTAAAAAAGCATAGCATTTCTATTTTATAATTCTTATTTCATATTCTTTATTATATATTTACTTATCCTACAAGTTTAAAGTTAAGATTCTTGCAACATAAGTTTTTCCAAAATGTAAATATCTTTGAATTTTTTTTTAAAAAAAACATCTTATCTATATATAATATAAAAAGAGGATCTATGCCCTCAATGATTGACATGTGGCAAATGGTGATGTCATTTATCAAAATTGCTTAGTTGGAGTTCAATTGGTGAGGTGGATTCTTCAATTGGTGAGTTGTCAATTTTATTTTGGTATGTATTTAAGTTATTTCCTATTTAATATTTATACACTCATTTAAACAATTACCACATGGATATATATTATTTCCAAAGTTAATATTTTATAAATTCGAAATAAAAAAAATCTTATTTATATTTTCAGTATTTCAAAATACATTTATTGAAAAAATTCATGATACTCAATATTTTTACGAATATTCAAATAATTTCAGAAAAAAAATAT